TTGTGCTAATAAGAAAGATCTTTGAAGAGTGTTGCTATCTTTGTCTGTCATTCATTATCACATTCCGGTTCTACACGTCACAATTTGTGTTGCTCATTCGGCAGCGCTCTGGTCAAAGCCTCTTTAGCTCAGTGGTAGAGCGTTGGTCTCGTAAACCAAAGGCCGTGAGTTCAACCCTCACAGGAGGCAACAATAGAAATAAGTAATTTTTTTTGTTTTTCTTCTTTTTTTTCAATTTAAAAATATGAAATATGAATTAATGTTATGTCTATAAGTGAAATCTGATGTTTTTACTTTATTATACTAGATTCATTTAATAGGACGGAAATAATTGTTGAATACATTTGGATCGTCAAGTGGAGGACTGGAGAAAAACGAAAGTGTGTCGGGCACATAAATAGTTTCTTATGCACAATTATTTTCCTCAACTGCTGTTTTATGACCAACATATACAGATACACATTCACACACATTTAGGCTCATACATATGCGAAAGCATTGGGCACGTTTAGGCCTTTAAAACTAATGGCAAATAAGAGTTGTAAGTAGGGTTTCGGACTCTTCTATACGCTTGCCTCGTAAAAACAAATATGTCTGACCAATGCTAGTGCCGTTGCAAGTGTAAGTTTATGTCCAAGTAGGTGTCTGTGTGTGCGTGTGTGTGCGAGTGCGTGCTTAACACACGCAATGACATTCGTTGTGCGTCGGATGTGGGGGGCCAAAAATTAAGGCAAATGTTTGTGACGCCATTAAAACCGAGAACTAGAAGTAGAAAATAAATTCAAGCATGCGAATAAATCGGTAAATACCCACGCATTTTTACATATGCGACTAGCCAGCGTTGGGAATTCAGTTCCCTGCTGCAAATTAATCCACGGCTATTTTGTGTGGCACTTTTGTATGCCACACGAATATGTTGTGAATTAATTGCTTTCATTTTGGTTTTCTTTACGGTCACATGTAAATTTGGCACGAGAACAAGGATCAATTTACTAAATTCTATATGACAACTAATCCATCTTATATACATTTACATTGGAAGATATCCCCGTGGAATAATTTTAGCAATATCTAATAACAATATTAACAGGCTACACATGCTCTCAACATGACGTGCCCTATTTTTTTGTTTGTTAATTAATAATTAAGAGTGATAGAATGCGCAATTCATCAGTTATATTTTGACGCCATTTAGGCCTTGTTTGAGTGATGGATTAAAGGCAACTGTGACGCTTTTGACTTTTTCAATTAAAAAGTTGCCTGATGCCATTAAGTCGGCGCTCGACATTAAAACCCAAATTAAGCTCATCATATTAGCAAAGTACACCTTACCGGGAATGCTCGGCCAGCAGCTTAGGCTTTGAAGCTCACATAAGGACATAATGAAGTACCCATCTTGACATTGAGCGCGAAGGGCTTTGCTGTAAATTAATGCGGTATTTGCGGCCCACAGAAAAGTGGGCCTCATGTTCCACAAAAAAGGGCTAACAAAGCGTCAGACGAAGGGCACCGAAAATGTGCTTATTCTGTACCCCATCTTGGCGCTAAATGAATTGACATAAATTTATAGCGACTTGCGCCTCGACCTAGTCAAAATTCGTATTTATGAATTAATAAGGCAGCTGATGGAACCTTGTGCTCGGCATTAGCCTGCCACAGACCCAACTTGGGGAAGGGTCCTTGTGGCAAAAACTAATTGAAGGTGACAGTTTGACAGACGCAGTTGAAAGCCCCTTTTGCTGATTCTCGAGCTGTTGCTCCTGATAACGATGACAGACGTAACTCAGAACTCGGAGCAACACGAAGGCGATGAAGAGCCCCACATAGTATTATGAACTTTAGCACGAGGCAAAGTTAACAACTCGCTGCTAGCCAAATCAAATCAGAGGTAATTTAGCGTAAAAGACAAAAAGCCATCATTTCATTTCCATGCTGGCAAGAGACTGTCTTGGCTTCCCCTCATCTGTCAGTCACTAAGTCTGTCTGTACTCTAAATTTGTGGGCGTGGCATCGCTGCACGTCATTTACATATACAGTCAAACATGCCAAAGTCGAACTTTCTGTAAACCCATCGCAATTGAGGCAAAATGAAATACAAATTATATGCATATCGAGGGTTAGCACAGAAATCTCTAGAGAAATTTTCAAAGTTTTCTTTGGCGAATTGGAAATTGATTCTGCTGTTTCTGTTGCTTATTTTTATATTTGTCTGACTGATACCAAAAATTATTTGGTTATATATTGATTGATATATTGTCAGGCCATAAATAGACAATATTCATTATAGACATTACGGGGAAATATTTATTATTATTAAATTAGAGATTTGTGGAGCTGTTCAAAGCAAAACGAAAACAGTTTATATGTATTTTTAAGTGGAATATAATGTGTCTTACCTGAAATTATGTGCTTGAATATAGATTGCAATAAAAAGGCAATATTTATTATAGGCTATATTTTGTATTGTTGAATTAGAGCTTTTATGTGTACATTTTTTAGAGCTGGAACGGAAATAGTTGAAATATTTAAATAGTTTTTGCCTTAATTGCAAAACACATTTGCTGTTTATTTTAGACTACAATATTTGATTGGCGATTCTGCGAAATGCATGAATTAAAAAAATAAATAATGAAATGATTATAAACTATTAAAATATACAAATATCAATTGGTTTATTATTGATTATTATTATTATTATTATTAGTGCCAATTCTGAGATGCAAATTTAACAATTGCTGACCACATCTCATTTATTTATTTTCTTTTATTTTATGTTAATTATGCTCAAAGTTTTATTTTCTTTGTGGCAGCTGAGTTATAGAAGTTCAACTGTGTTTTTGACCCCCGTAGAGGGTATATATATATATATATATATATATCATTTTTTTCTTGCTGCACGCTTTGCATATTGTGTTCGGCGCTGGGCTTATAGTCAATAACCAGAGCCCAACCAAAAATAAAAATAAAATAAAGTAAAGGAATACGTGAGACGTGCCAGGTAGGATGCTTAGTATGCAGGTGGCGAGTAATGCGCCCACTTCGACCCACCCCTCCCACCTCAACACACACACACACACACACACACACACACACACACACACACATACACATACACACACACACACACACACTGTTTAGCTGGCCCTTGTCTGGCCAGATTTAAAGACGCAGACGATTGCATTTGCTCCTTGTCTTTGCACTTTGCCCCATTTGCTTTGACTTGTTTGTGAAGCATACTTCAACACACACACACACACACACACACACACACACACACACACACACACACGCTCGCTGTGAGAAGAAAGCATTTGCCATTTCTCGTTTAATTTCAACATTTTTTTGTGCTCGTCATCGTTGTGACTGCCGCTGCTGCTCCTGACTGAAGGCAGTAGGCGTGCCGCCAAAAGGAATTGAAGTGAGCCCTTTGTTTCTTACCCGCTCACTCGTTGCCCGACTCGCTGTTGCTCTTGCTCTTGGCTGGGGCTGTGTGTAAGTAAATGATTGTTGTTGCCTGCCTTGAATTTAAACAAATGCGGAATTGTTGTCGCTTTTTATTCAAAGGTCGCCATTCATTCATTTTTATGCCTTTCCAGTTATTTACTTTGTTCCTTTTTGTTCTAAGGCATTTGACTGCCTACGATATTGTGTGGCAGCCATTTTACTTCATGCACCTTCTGAATGGCATATTGTTGTTGTTGTTGCTGTTGTTGCTGTAGCATTATTAATGCATTTATAATATTGTAGGCTCCTTCTTCTATTTTACGATGTTATTTTCATCAATTTTAATGGCTCAAAGGTTGTGCGTACCTTTTTTTATTGCGTCAGCGAATTTTGTCGGGCTTGCTATGCAGGAGGGAAGGGATGGGTTGTTGTTGCTACAATTCAATGAATAAATGAAATGTCATCAGCATCTAATTAACAGAATGAAGAGGGTGCCAATTATTTGAAAAACCTCACAAGATGATCTTTCCCACTTATCTTTAATTAAGTATAGACAAATTTATGTTTACTCATTCAAAAACTGACAACTTTCAACTGAATATTAAGTCGTAATCAGCACTTGTTTAAGTTAATAAATATTCAAAACAAGCACTTTCATTTTATAGTTATCTTTATTTGTAGTATATTTTTGTATTTTACATAGATTTGGTTTGTCGCACTTTGTTTGTTGAGTTTGTTTGTCAATCCACATTGCGCTTATGTTCAAGTTCATAATACGTTTACTTTTGTTAGGTAAAAGTTGATATATATATGATATATATATATATATATATTTTATAATTTATTTACTTTGTTGTTGCTTTCATTACGTTCGTTCAATGCTCACTGAACTTAATACTAAACATTTATAGATAATTCAGTATCGACAATTGGTTTAAATATATATATACGAATACGGTCTAAGTTTTCCTCAACATAACTATGTATATAGTGGGGCTTAATAGTTGCTTTCCTTTTGTGTATAATCCCAAACATTTTGCAATAATATACATTCAATATATATATATATATATATATATATATATATATATATGAGTGTGTGTGTGTGTGATTCTCATACGAAATGAAAATATTTTCGATTTATACAATTATCGTTTTATAATTTCAATTATTTGTAGTAGTTCCACATTCAAGCTTTTGATTGGCTTGCATAGCATGCAAACATTTATAATACATACATTTATGTAAATATTTATTTGGGCTAATGAAAAAATCATAAACAGAGAGAAAACTGCATCACAATGCAGTATTTTGCCGTATTACGTTAATTTCAGCGAGATAACAATTTCAGCAAAGATTTAATCAATTGAACAACAAAAATTATAATTGGCCATCATTGATAGCAATAAATTGATTGTTCCACGGAACATCGATCTATTTTTATATTTCGCTATCTTTTACTTATGAGCTTATTGAGTTCAGCAAATTTTTTTGGTATGTATTTGTGTAATTTTAATGGAAGTTTTTTAGGTAATGTTTTTTTTGTTTTTGGCAATTTTTATATATGATCGAATCAGAGCGGGCCAAATACATATTTGATTATACTTTAATACTTTAATACACTTGAAAAACGTTGGAAAAACTAAGGTAACAATTTGTTAAACCACGTAAAATCGTAATCGTCTTAAGGTCATATTCACATTTAACTTGGCAAATTTTATTGAAGATATTCAAGCACAATCATGATATTCCAAATCGTATAAGCAATGCGAATTTTACTTTCAAAATCCATTAAATATTTATCCAATCCGCAACACAGCTTGATTCAGTTTCTTTCCTTATGTTAAATTGATCAATGCCACTTTTCAAGATTTTTATAGATGACAGTTTTTATTTTATTTACCCTTGGGATAAAATCGTGTTCCTGATATTGATTTTATGTGTCTGTTTGGTGTAACGAGTGTGTAAGATAGTCGTAGCAAGTGTGTAAATGAAATGTTGCTGGAATTTCTTTAACGAGAATTGTTATTGTTGTTGTACTATGCGATAGATTGAAATCCAGTTGCTATTTGAATAGTTTTCGATAATTGAAATTTGAACTATTTTTCGAGGACATATGTAATCAAATTGGCTAATAATACACTACATTTACCATTTATCTTGGCTTTCAATTCAGTTAATCATCCTACAAAGTTTAACAATTGTTTTTACCTTTGTGTATAGTTATATGTAAGTACTGAGTTCTTTTTTATATATTTGTTTAAGAAGTGACCCGTATTTAAATAGTTCTTTGTAGTTGTATTGGTAAGTTAGCTGATTAATTCTTATAGTTTGACTAGACCTGGCCCTACTTATATAATTATAAATATGTTGCTTTCTTTTTTTTTTAAATTTATTTCTAGATTTCTTCAAATTACGTGTGTTTCCATATGCTTTAAATACTCGTTTATTTGTTCAAACAAATTTCCCCATATTCATTTTCAATTATATGTATTAATTTTATTGCTGCCTTGTTTATAATCCGGTTGGACTTAATTCAATATCATTAATTAATTTGGGTTGGGCTGTTGCTTTGCTAAATTAGAGCTGGCAATTGGTAAAGAAACGAAATTCTCCCTGCTTGAAACATTTTGTTCTTGTGATTTCGCTTGTGGGGATTGTTAGTTTCAATTGTACGTTAAAAATGTTCCCATTGGAATATAAAGGTGGGCTTAAATCATTTTAGATTAAATGTGCATATCGATTCGTATCCTTTTGTCAAATCTATCTTTAACTCTATTGCCACTTTGGATTTCAACTTTGGTAAGCTTTTAATATTTCTTCTGATTACGGTGTTATTACACAAGACTCCCAGTACACTCAGAAAAAAATATATAAATCGCCTTGTACCGTAATTAATTTTTTAAGCATCAAAACGGCTGCGCTTTCAAAAATGTGATCTCTTTATGAAACACATTTTTGATAACTAGAAATGCAACTCTGAAATTTTTTGAAAATATTTAAATTTCTCTCCTGCGTTTTAAAGTTTGGTTCATTTAGAAACTAATTTCGACCTTTATACTAAAAATACCCTGGATATTATATTTCTTAAGTTCTAAACAAATTTATCTTTGAATCTCGAAATGATAAGCCTGGTTCTTAGCATACTTGGCGACTACCAATCTTCTAGGTCACATTTTTTTCTGAGTGTACACGCCGCAAACTACAAGTGGTCTATTTGTTTGGCATTTGTCTCGCGTTAAATAGTTTGAGGAAGAAGAGTTCTAAATTGGAATACTATGATATTTCAACTGTGTATCACAAACATAAGGAGAGCCAAAGGGAAAAGAGGAATAAGCTGACGACGCCGTCGTCGCTGTTTTAATCCCGAATGAAAACGAATTCATTGTAATGATTCCAGCGATTCTCCTCCGTATCCACGCCGGGCTTGGGCTCGGCCGCCGAACCAGCCGTGCCGGAACCGCAGCTGCCCGCCATGCGATAACCGTGATCGTGCAGATTATCGAACGCCTGCTCGATGAAGCAATGCTTGAGGAAGAAACGTGACGTATACCGATCGGGACCACCATGATCCGGATCTCGCGACTCGTTCAGCGTATCCATAAACACCTCACGGCACTGAGCGACCCGTCCACAGACCAGAATGCGCGACAGCTTGCGGAATTTCACATCGGCCAGGCCATCCTTGCCGAACTGAAAACTGCCGCGATACCCAATCGTGATGCAGCCCGGTGGCCGGGCATCCCTATCGCCCCGTATATACTCCAGCATGGCCGTCAATTTGAAGTGTTCCGCTTCGCGTTGGAGCCGCTGGCGTTCGCGGAAACCCTCGGGCAGATGCAGTGCCTTATCGCGCAGAAAGTCCAATATGTAGCGGAAAAGGACGCCATCACGGTCCACAAAATAACGGCCCTTGCTGTCCTTGGCCAACGATTCGCGACCCTCAGCGCCAGCGAACAGCTCGTAGAGCAGTGTCCCCTTATCCTGCAGCAGTGTTGTCAACGTTGTCGTATAATGGACACCGCCAACATTTAGCTCCACAATTTCAGGCATATCGGTTGCTTAATGCTCTTCAGACTGTTGTTGTTGTAGTTGTTGTTGGTGTTGCTGTTGTTGTTTACCACCTAGTTAGTGCAGTTGATACAGTTTGTTTGTTGTTTGCTTGTGGCACATATGGGTGGAGGCGTTAAGGAGCACTTTGAATGCCTTGCGGTATCTACACTCACAGGACTTTCTTTTCACACCGTGATTCGTTTCCTGTTACTGTTGTTGCTGTTGTTGTTGCTGTTGCTGTTGCTGTTGTATGCTTTATGCGTCGCGCTGTTATCTACCTTGAATTTTGAACGACCGTTTTATGTTTTATGTTTATTGTATTTTGTATTTGTTTATTTTTTTGCTGTCCGCTTCGCCCGTCCGCACTCGCTGAGCTCTCGTGTCGAACTGGCCTCCTTGCTGCCTGATTGTGCCACTAGAGCGACTCTCGCTGGTGTGCCGTCCAAATGTGTGTGTATTCATTGTAGAAACTTTCATCAGAGTGAGAAACAGAGAGAGGGAGAGAGAGTGCTCCAGCAACAGCGCAGTTTGAGAGTGAGAAATATAGAGAGATAGACAGAGAGAGACAGAGAGAGACAGAGAGAGAGAGAGAGCAGCGCGAGAGTTGCGCACACGTTGCATTTGTTTTGTTATTGAATATTATTTTGTTTAACAAGTGGTTAAATTGTTCTATGTACATTAATATATATATATATATATTTTGGGCATGGGCATCTGGGTGGAATATAACCTTGACTGAATGATGTGCACATACGTGTATGTGTGTGTGTGTGTGTGTGTGTGCATGGATGATTAATGAGTGTGCTTCAATGCCAGCCCCGAGTGTATGCTGCAAGAACAGTTAGTGTTGCATGTATACTCAACACTCATACGCACTGTTGCCCCTCGCAGTTTGTTGATCGAAAATACTTCCACTATCAATGCCCGCCTGCCTGCAGCAAGACTAGCCAGTGTCTGTCTAGAAGAAATGTATTTTGTTATTGCAGAAATATTGAAAACAAAGATCAATTATTTCCTGCTCTTTGTTCTTCCTATTGCCCCAAGTCGAAATCTTGTGGCTTATTGTAATCTGTATTTGATTGTGAGTGCACAAACTGCTCAGTTGTTATTTTTATTTTTTGTTTTTTGTATTTGTTTTTGGATAACAGGCGCTGACAATTCAACACCTTGGCACTGACATTTGTCCGTTTACCCGTTTACCCGTTTACCCATTTGCCCATTTTGGTCATGGCTGAGGGCAGCAAACGTGCCTCGCACGACCAAACGCAACTGGTTGGCAGCAAAACAGCACCCTTCCACTTGCTGCTGTACTTTTTGGCTGGCTGCCAAGTGGACAGACGATATATGCCTCGTTGCCTGCCTCGCTGCCTGCCTGGACTTTCACGTTCCACGCTCACCTGTGGCACAGGCACAACTTTGGCTGTGTGTTAACAATTCATGTGCCTGTTGACAGACACTGAGCATTGCCTTTGCGACTCGACTCAACTCGACTCGACCCGAGTCGACTCAACGAGCATCAGTTCGAGGGCACACGGTGCCGCACGGTGGCGCAATATTAGCCCCAGCTGGCCAACATAAAAATAGGCAATGAACAGCACAAGCAACCAACCAACCAACAACAACAACAGCAACAACAACAACAGCAACAACAACAACTAAACTTAACAAAAACTAAACTAAAACTAACGCACCAACATCATCAGCATCAGCAGCAATGCTGCTGTTGCTCCTCTTCTGACGCAATAACTTCGTTTGTACGTTGAACTTTACACACACACACATACACACACACACACACCCGCACACACACACACACACACCCGCACACACACACACACACACACACATACGCCTGCACACACTTCTAATTGAAGTGAAAACTTTCAGTTGAGAATATATTCGACACTGAAGTGAAACAGTGGTTTCTGTTTTAGACTCAGCTGCGGTCGCCAATTTTTTTTTTGCTGTTTTTTATTATTGTATGGCAAGCGACCCAACCAAAAAACCCCTTTTCCTTTTTAGATGCGCGTCTCATTTGTTGTTTCTGACTTGTCTGCGTCCTCGCTGTCTCGGTTCATTTCCGCTTCGTACAGCTCTTCCTGCTGCTATTGCTGCTGCTGCGGCTGCTGCTGCTGCTGCTGCTGTTGCTACTTGTGGTTGATTCCCCACCCTGCCACCTGTTTTTGGTTGGCACGTCGCGACTTCGCTTATCAGACGCCTGTTAGGCTCGGTCACCTCCGCCTCCTCCGCTGTGCCGGCACATGGGCATAGCTAAGATCTCAGCTAGTGCGAGGGGACATCACAATCAAACCCTACCAGACAAATCCTAATAAAGCTTCAAAACTTAAAACATTTTCGATCCAAAATGATTGATATGTATTAAAAATATATATTTTAAATAATTGAAATGAGTACAGAATATAATATCACGAGATAAATGCAAAGAAAAAACTTAAATTAAGCATAAAATAACATTTTCAGTGATTTACGCATAATATTTGTTTAATTTACTATAAAAGCAACCTCCTTTAATACTTTTTTACAGCAATTGATTTTCAATGACTTTTTTGTTCAAACTGTCATAAATTGCATATAAACTTTTTTAAACATGTGAATTTCAATGTGAATTTAGTTAATCAACATTTACAAAAAATTTAAAAAAATTGCGGAAAAAGTTAAATGATAAAAAAACTTTGCATGGAAAAAGTTTTATTTGCTTTAGTTTCAGGGCAAATATATCTCGTCCTGCAGCACATTATATAACCGGATAAAAACGATAAAAAATTAGATAAGCATTTAGTAGAAAACATTACATTTTGAACTATATTGTGATTTATTTACAATGAAAACATTCTCCTCTTATCGACTGCAAGCGTGCTTAAAACTTTTTCATCAATGAATGTTCTTCAACCTACTTTATTTTTAACACTTTAATAAATTTTACTTTAATGTGAATGCTTTCAACTCTATTAAATATGAGGATTTCAAAATTCCGTTGAGGAATTACAACAGTTTGAAAATATTTCGGAAAAAGTTTCCAGCCAAATAACTTTGTTTGGAAAAAGTTGTAGTTGCCCTACTATTTAGGGGGTATATGCTGTTTGTGTTTATTACCCCCCTGACTACGCCCATGCCCCATGCATCGTACTCAAGTTTCGTGCGGTTTTTGGGAACACATTAAGATGGCAGCAACAATTTACGCGCCATTACACAGCACGTGTTTTATGCACGCAGGCGAGAGCGGGACAGCAATAGACAGGGAGAGAGAGAGAAAGGGAGCGAGAGAGAAAGAGAGGGAGAGAGACAGAGTGAGGCATCGACAGAGCAAGGGAGGTGGTGGGAGGAAGAGGGAGAGGGAGCAGAGTACATAAGTACTTTTGGAGGCTAGTATGAGTGCGCTGCTCTTATGCTCTTACGTCTGTGGCTTATGGTTTACCCTGACTCCAAACCACCCAACCACACCCAAAACCCCCCCCCCCCCCTCGCCATCTCTCTGTCCATACACAAAACGCAATCGTTGTGCAAACGTCCCCCAAAGCTGAATGCCATTTGGCTGCCTGGAAATTGATTTTGTTTGCCTATGTGTGTGTGTGTGTGTGTGTGTGTGTGTGTGTGTGTGTGTGTGTGTGTGTGTGTGTGTGTGTGTGTGTGTGTGTGTGTGTGTGTGTGTGTGTGTGTGTGTGTGTGTGTGTGTGTGTGTGTGTGTGTGTGTGTGTGTGTGTGTGTGTGTGTGTGTGCGTGCGTGTGTGTGTGTGCGTGCGTCTGTCATGTAACATTTTGTTGCGACAACGCGCCAAATTGTCACTTCACAGTGGCAAAAAAGTAGCTCACGTGCCACTTATTTTACGTTTTGTTTACCTTTGAGCATTGTTTTCTTTAGCTGCCAAACACGACATGATGAGCAGGAGGATGTCTAATCATATTTACGCCCAGATACCCATCAAAAGTAAACACTTGTCTTTTCAAATGCACTCGCACCTCGCCATCGAGAACTTATTCCCCAGACGATCATTCTCTAGCTCAAATCACATTGAGTGGAGTGAAAATTACACACACTTAACTTAAGAAAAAGTGTATTGTTTAAAAGTACAATGATATATGTATATAGGTATTCGGCATTGATGTAAAGAAGTAAACTGTTTAATATTCTTAACAAGAATATATGTACTTTCTGACATTGGAGATGCTTCCCTATGTTTACAATAGATACACACATACTACCTTTTCAAGAAGATCTCATACTGCTCCTCCTTTTATACCGACTTAAGATTATCCATACATTGAAGCATTAGTTATTTCCATCCTTTCAAATGGGAGTTTTTCACTTAGCATCTCCTCCAAAGAACACGCCACAGCAGCAATATATTAATTGAGCACTATGCATTTATAAAATAGAAAAGTATATATATATATATGTATATTACATTCCTATATATATACATTTTTTATATCTTTCTCCAACTCGAAAATTTTTATCTAATTTAATTTAGGCAAGTTCAAGTTCGAAAAGTTCAACTGTATTTCTAAACTTCTGGTTCATCTGGCTAGCTGGCCATAAATAATTGAAAAGATTCTTGCTTTTGTTACTCAATTTTGTTTGTCAGTTGCACCAAATGCAAATCCGCAAAAATAACAAATCTGGTCACTGATTGGCAACAAATGGATTTCCAAAATAGCATTCTCAAGGTTTACTACTGTCAATCAAAACTTTGCTGCAAATTGGGAATTTGATTTTGTGCAACGATTTTGGTCCAATGCCAATGCAAATTTCAAGCAGCGTTTGTCAACAACGCAAAATGCCAAGACAACCAATCACCAAACACAACGACAACAACCACATATAAAAACACACACAAATCTTGCAGCTCTTAAATATTGACTCAACTAATTTTGGAACAAATTACAATTGTTGATATTGCCACTGATGAAAGCGGAAGGGAAACACCGATTAGCTAAGCTATTGATTTATTGCCGGTTTGAAGACTGACTGCTCTTGATGATTGTGTATTGCGTGTGTAGAAGAATTGCAACTAGGCGATTGATGTCCGCCAGAATCGATAAAAGTAATCAACTCAAGGCTATTTGTGCTCAAGAGAAGGAATCATTCTGTAAGTAATTACATTTTTAACTAGAGGTGTAAGTAAAAGTTTTAAAAACTCAGAGCAAAGAGAGCATTGAGCAATAAAAGCCATAAAGATGTATACATCTAAATCTAGATGAGCTATATATATATATATATATAATATTATTTAAAATCGCTTGGAATCAATTCAAATGAAGTGTTTTTCTAAGCGTGAGAGAAACTTAATTGAAGACTCTCTTAAGATACTTAATTTATACAATAAATAAAACTTGTTGTCTTGTGCAGTATTAACTTGAGCTTTGCATTTGCTTAAATTTAATAGATTTAAGACTCTTTTATTTATTTACAACCAGGTTATAATTAAAAATGATTGAGCAATGGCTACAAAGTTTTTCAGCTTTTGTATTTTTTTAAATTTATTTTAAATTGCAGTTTACTGTTGGATTGTAGATTATGATGTATATTTATATGTTCAGTAATTAATTTATACTGGATGTTGGAGGTTTCCTTTTATTTTTATTTTCTTTATTCTCATATTTTATTTTGCCTCTAGTTCTTCATAAAACAACATGATATTTACTTTTAGTACAACTTTTACTTCTACTTTACTTTTATGTTTTACTAAAAACTAGATTTTTCTTTATCAAATCAAGATATTTTTTTAGCTTATAAAAATTGCTCAGTTCTTTTGTGAAACACTTCGTTTAAATGTATTCTTTGCCAAAAATGCTAAATTCGAAATATTCTCTTGGTTTTTTTTTGTGTGTGTGATGAGTGTGTGAGGGTGGATACACGGGATGAGGGGGGTGAGAGTGCATGGGCTTACTTGCCTGTGTATCCTCAAGATAGTCGTATTCTGACTGCCTGCATGCGCCGCTGCGCACGCGAGGAATGCAAATGTGCGCCGGGCTGCTGGGCAATTTAACACCATCCCAGTATGTGCATGTGCCTGTGTGTGTGTGTGCGAGTGTGTGGGTGTGTGTGTGTGTGCGAGTGTGTATATGTGGCGTGAAGGCGCCGCAGGGAAGGACGCGCATGGCAATAGATTTAATGGCACTGCATGAAGACTGCATGCTGGCATGTAAATAAAAAATGCATTAGTATGCAGCGAATGGCAACAAACAAAATCGAGGCAGGGCATGCCTGCCACATTATTTTTATAAGAAAGAGCAAGAGAGAGAGAGGTAGAGAGCATTGGATGAAAAGAGGCAGACACACAGTTTGTCCTGGTGTGTTATCGCAGAAGCTGATTTTTTATTGCATTCAGCAACAGTTTGGCTCAGTGCCCATCCCTTCTTCTCCACGTCCAACCGTTGCAACCACATTTTCACGTTAATGTTGCATGTTGCAATTTTGTGCGAAGGACATTCCCGAAAGTACTTGTATATAGTACGTGTTTGAGTGTATATGTGTATGTGTGTGTGTGTCTTTATGTGGCATGCCTTATGCTGCAAATGACTATAAATAGACGCATTCGTTATAAAAAATAAGAGACTCTCTCTTTCCTCTATACACAATTTAAGTGGATTATTCAAAGCTGACAAAGTTAATGCTTCTGAGTCTTGAGCCTGACCCAGCAGGCAGCACACAAACTGTCCTACTCACAATAATATTTGGTAGCAAGCTTAAATTTGCGTCAGCAGTTTGATTTCAAGCTGAACTGTTTTGGGTGGAAGATGGAAATAATTCTGTGCAAGATTTCAAGTCAAATTCGAATATTCTTTATTTGATGTAATTTATTCTCGATCTTAAAAATAACCCTTAATAAGTAGCTACATAAGTTATTGAATACAACATAATACATCAATTAATTACTTTAATTAAAAGCTACATATATTTTTCAAGCAATCAAGTTCATTTGGAAAATTGTAATTTAATAAATATTTTTCAATTTAGTATTATAAGTTTTAAGCCATAGGTCAGACATCTCGTAAAATCCAAGTCTTTACTATTATAAGTCGTACATGTCATATTGTTAAATATTAAAAGTGTGAAATAATTATTATTATTAAATTTTATAATTTTTAAATTTAGCCACAAGCTATACTATATATATTCGGGAGAAGTAATCTAGAAGACCCCGTGAGACCAAGTCTTTACTTATCCTAAGTCGTAAACATAATTTGCATAGATATACACAAACAAACAGGGTTAGATCGACTCAGTTTTGAGATGGGATCAGACATGCTTCCTTCCGCCTATGAAATATTTTTTTTTTACCCTTTTGTACCCAATTTGAATAGGTTTTGGCTATAAAAATACAATTTAATAAACCTCTGAAAGTATTGAACATATAAATTCCAATAAGTTAATCTGAAACTGAACTAATCGAAATATTTCAAATCATTGCAGTTTACCTCAAAGTCTTTGCGGCGAATTTGCAAGTGGCTGCAATTCGAATTTGCCTTAATGCTTCTTCTTATACGTGGTACGATTTGATAATCGCCGCACGTATTCACAGTCATTGCAGACACAGTCGAAACGCCAACATAAAACTATAAAATTAATTTAGTACAACCATAAAAATTACGCAAAATAAAAAGAAATTTGCCAATTCAATAGCAATTGTTGGGTAAGTGCTCTAAGGCAATTAAAGAATTTATTTGCAATTGCATTTAACGCTGCAGTCAAAATCAGAGATCGCATGCCACACAAATTCTCCGGAGATGATGATGGACAGAGGGGTGTGGCCCATTTGGGTAATTTCGTTGCTTTTTTTGTGGGCATTCACAAATCTGGTGGACATCTGTCGAGCCGAGCGAACCAATGTGGGTGAGTTTAACAACGCGAACATATTGTTCCACGCAAAAAAAAATAAAATACTGTTATGCAATGGAAAATTGTATATAGCGCCATGCAAATATTGCTGGTATTTGGATGCTTCAATGTATTCTCGGTTGAGTGGCACTATGTGTGTGTGTGTGCTCATGTGTGTTTGTATTTTTATGCCCCAAACGAAACATATGGCACAACAAGCATCATCAGTGGGCATTCTGTCTGTGAATGCGGCGAATTGGCCGCATTTTTTTTTCTTTTTCTTAGCCATGCGGCAAGCAGAATTCGTAAACAGAATTTGCATAGCAAAACAGAAAACAGACCGTAAAAACTATGAATAGCTTTTATTTGTACCTCGTCGATGTGTGTGTGTGTGTGTGTGTGTGTGTGTACATATGCCTCTTGTTTTTTTTTTTTGCTGATTTTCTTGTTTATCTCAGGCCTTATCTATGAAAACACTAATCCTGATCTCGAGAAAATCTTCCACTTGGCCATTGCCAAGGCGAATGAGGAGAACGAGGAACTCAAACTGCATGGCGTGGCCGTAGCCATTGAGCCAAACAATGCCTTCGAGGCGTCCAAAAAGCTCTGTAAGATGCTACGGGTAGGTCTGGACATTTACATATATCCTACACATGCTTTAGAATGTAAGGAGTTGGCCTACAACTAAAATCTGCATGAAAATTGCCAACTTATTCTGATTTTTTTATAGCAGAAATTCAACACTTACAAAATTTCAAGAAAATCTCATCAAATTCAGAGATCCCTAAACAATATAATGTTTAATTTGAATATTCTTTGCGCTTCTGCAGTGTTGCACAACGCAATAATTCATAATAGTTTTAATTTTTTTTTATAGCAAAATCTGGTGGCTGTATTTGGACCGAGCACAAATCTTCCGGCTCGTCACGCAATGAGCATTTGCGATGCCAAGGAGCTGCCCTTTATGGACACACGCTGGGACTTTAGTGCACAATTGCCGACAATAAATCTGCATCCGCATCCTGTGCAATTGGGTGTGGCGCTCAAGGATCTGGTGACGGCGCTGGGCTGGGAGAGTTTCACCATTATTTACGAATCGGGTGAATATCTGGTGACAGTCAATGAGCTGCTGCAGATGTATGGAACGGCTGGACCGCCGATAACCCTGCGACGCTATGACCTTGACCTCAACGGCAATTATCGCAATGTCCTGCGACGTATACGCAACGCAGAAGATAATTCATTTGTCGTGGTCGGCTCAACGGAGACGCTGCCCGAGTTATTTAAGCAGGTGCAGCAGGTGGGTCTGCTAACCAGCGACTATCGCTACATCATTGGGAATCTTGACTGGCACACCATGGACCTGGAGGCCTACCAGCATGCGGACGCCAACATAACAGGCCTGCGTGTCGTTTCGCCGGAGCAGGAGCAGATCCAGGAGGTGGCCAAGGCATTGTACGAGAGCGAGGAGCCCTTTCAGAACGGTAAATCAGCATAATCTTCGTTTTATTGCCCATTTCAATTTCGCGTAAATTGTGTCTGTCCCTTGCTGGGCAACTTATGCAAAGCCACACTGAAAAAAATTAAATATAATATGACTTTGAATTTAAAATATAGCCATAAGATTCTTATAACTTAAAAAACTACATTTTTATGGAAAACGTTCCTAATAGGCATTCCCACAATTTTTTTCAAAATTCAGATATTTTATTGAAAGTTGACGAAATCAAGTATTTTTTAAAAATAATAAGTCCCTAAATATCAGTACCAAATTCTTTTATTGCTAGAAAGTAAAACTTCTACATATTTAGATATATTATTAGTTATTATAGTTTCAAAATGAACCCAATCAATTGTTTTTAAACTAATAAATCCCAAATTATCACTGACAAGAATAATTAATTCACTTTCACGTTTCAGAAATGCTTAAATTTGTAGAAAGTAGAAATCCTAGAGATTATTTATATTTTATTCGAAATAGTTTCAAGATGAAAGCAATATATTTTTTCTAGAGACTCAGATGTATTAGCTCATATTTTTTGCAGAGTGCCGCAACCATCCACATAAGCACATACATATAAATAATTGAATCCTCAGGAAAAATGATAAATGCTAATTTGGCCACTAAAGCATTCATTTACGTTATCCCTTATGGCCTTTACACCGCTCCCCACCGTGTCCTCAATTGCAGTGTCGTGTCCTCTGACCAACAGCATGGCCCTAATCTATGATGGCATACAGCTGCTGGCCGAGACATACAAACATGTTAACTTTCGGCCCATGCCCCTGAGCTGCGGGGACGATAGCTCGTGGGATAAAGGATACACGCTCGTCAACTACATGAAGTCGGTGAGTGATGCGAAAAATATGGCAAGAATACGGTTCATAAAACATAAATATATATGTATGTACATGCATAAATATATGCATATTATGTACAGCTGACGCTCAACGGACTCACGGGCCCCATTCAGTTTGACTATGAGGGACTGCGCACGGATTTCCAGCTGGAGGTCATCGAGCTGGGCGTCTCGGGTATGCAGCAAATTGGCCAGTGGAGCACCGACGGCGGCTTCGAAATGAATCGTCCAGCTGCGCCGCACACCATCGAACCCGATATGCGCTCGCTGATGAATAAGAGCTTTGTGGTTGTCACGGCCATTGTAAATATCTACAAAAATAGTTGATACTTCTTCATTTTTATTTATCAATTCATGCATGTTAATTTCTCTGTGGATACAGAGCGAACCGTATGGCATGTTAAAGGAGACGTCTGAGAAGCTGGAAGGCAACGCTCAGTTCGAGGGATTTGGCATTGAGTTGATTGATGAGCTGGCCAAGAAATTGGGATTCAGTTACACCTTTTATCTGCAGCCGGACAATAAATATGGTGGACTTGATCCCAAAACTGGTGAATGGAACGGCATGCTACGCGAAATAATAGACAATGTAAGTGCCTGACAATCTGGGGAATATGACCATAAATCCAATCGATTCCGCCCAACGGTCATTTATATCAATGAGCTTCCCGTTAAGTCCCCTGTGCATTAGCAACGGACATCAGTGAACATCATCGTTAACATAATTGTGCCACAACCATATCTGCCACCACCCACTAATAAAAACCACTGCTGTGTCATTGGAACTCTCATCGTTACTGTTGCTATCTACACTTGCGAAAAATATCTAGTATATAATAATATTTAAATGAAGTCTCTGAAAAATGTGTCAAAATCAATCAAAATCCATTCTAGATCATATAACCAAATTAGAAACGAGACGGCGGATTGAATTACTGTGTATATATATATACATATATATATGTGTGTGTGTGTGTGTGAGTGTGGGTGTGACTGCATGTGTGTGTGTGTGTGAGTTCAAGGCTATGTCAATTCTGGTTAGCTGTCGACCAAACGCTTGACTGCCTGTTCATTCATTTTACAGTAATTGGAAAAAACGTCGAAAATTCAATTTGAGAATATAAAATTAAATTGAATCTGAATCATTTATCTTAATAGTTGTCAAAGCCATGATTGATTATATGCACAAGCCGTATAGCATAACGTAATATATTCATTCAGCCAACTACCCATAATCCATAAAAAAGGGAAAATTAAAATATGAATAATTTATAAATCTGGCCAGTGCGTATGCGCAATATTTGCCTATGCATTGCAATTTGCATTTGAATAAACAAATAATACAATATTGAGAGCGAGGAATGGTAATTGCAATAATGCAATATGCATACCAATTATTAATTAGCGTGCTGACATGGGCATTACCGATTTGACCATGACATCGGAGCGTGAGAGTGGCGTCGATTTCACCATTCCATTTATGAATCTGGGTGAGTACACTCAACATGTGCATTCTACATATTCTTTCGCGTAATCTCGTCATCCATTATCAACTTTCAACATTCGCAGGCATAGCGATTTTGTTTCGCAAACCAATGAAGGAGCCGCCAAAACTGTTCTCGTTCATGTCGCCGTTCTCTGGCGAGGTCTGGCTCTGGCTGGGCTTAGCTTATATGGGTGTGTCAATCAGCATGTTTATACTGGGGCGTCTCTCTCCAGCGGAATGGGACAATCCGTATCCGTGCATCGAGGAGCCCACCGAATTGGAGAATCAATTTAGCTTTGCCAACTGCCTTTGGTTCTCGATTGGCGCCCTCCTGCAGCAGGGCTCCGAGCTGGCTCCCAAGTGTGTCGCTTCTAAACGTTTTTATTTGACATTGCTGTGACAAACTTTTTACTTATTTTTCAGAGCCTTTTCAACGCGCGCTGTGGCCTCATCCTGGTGGTTTTTTACGCTCATTTTAGTATCCTCGTATACGGCCAATCTTGCTGCCTTTCTCACAGTCGAGTCTCTCGTAACACCCATCGAGGATGCCGAGGACTTGTCCGAGAATAAGGGCGGCGTCAATTATGGTGCTAAAAATGGTGGCAGCACCTTTACCTTCTTCAAGGTGAGTCACTTGCTACAATCACGAAATATTTATGAATATGGCAGATCCGTATATTTCTTACAACTTTGAGGTAACAGGAATAACAAGAATTGTTCTGAATTTGCAATACAAATACAATCTTCAAGTTCTGGGGGATATTATTACTTTATTTTATTTTTTTTATTTAGTGGTGGTTTGGCGCTTCAGCTTGATTTCCTGCTGCACAGTGGTGATCTGCTCGAATAAACTCTTCCTCTTTGCGGCAACTGTAAGGATCTGAATCGTCGCCACTTGGGTTCAGTTAGGAGAAAGGGCGTCTGTGACAGTGTAGGATAGCGGGTACCATGTTGACCATAAGCGAGTCATATACAATCCCAAATTATCCGAATTGGCTTCTGATGTAATCGGTGCAAGCTCCCAGTGTCTTTGAATTCATTCACGATTTAAGCATGATTATCAACCCATTTCGTGCCATCATTCTTTAAATTGGCATCGGACTGGTTAACTGATGTGAGGCCATTAAATATGACAGAGTAGGTGACCCAAAACCCGCATTAGATGAATCAGCATCAGGTAACATGGACTGTTAAGCTAACTGTTGAGCCAACTTCGTGCATTTCGAAGCTTTTAGTAGGGCATCAGAAGTAGTTTAGGTAGCCTTACCCAGAGTTCCATTCAGTTCCTTTATGAACAGAGTGAAAGTTGTGCCACCCCGAAACGATGTTTTCCAGCAACCTGGTGCGACGCCGAATTGATCTTGATAATGATTATCTAATACGTTTTCTAAAAATGAAAAATAATTTTGAAAAGAGTAAATAAGTGTAATAAATTTTGTAATTTTGATTAGACACAAGAGTTACCACTTTTAAAAAGTATTTCTCGTAAAGCAAACAAATTATTTCGAAACACAAAAGAATGATTAGAAATGATGATACCGTTTTGTGCTTTAAGGACGCCAAATATCCGACTTACCAGAAGATGTACGAGTTCATGAAGGATAATCCCCAATATATGACGGACTCGAATCAAGAAGGCGTCGATCGCGTTGAGAACACCAATTACGCATTCCTCATGGAGTCCACGACAATTGAGTATATTACCGAAAGACGTTGCACACTGACTCAAGTGGGTGCTCTCCTGGATGAGAAGGGATACGGCATAGCCATGCGAAAGAGTAAGAAATTGTGACAATTTCATTTTGATTGTATTGATTGTTAAATGTGAATGCTACTTTTATTTTTTATTTTATTTTCTAGATTGGCCATATCGGAATGTCTTGAGCCAGGCAATACTGGAGCTGCAGGAGCAGGGTGTGCTGACCAAAATGAAGACCAAATGGTGGAAGGAGAAGCGTGGAGGCGGCGCCTGCTCGGTAAGTGCTCATATATCCGAAAAGGAAATTTGCCTCTCCCCACGGATATGTGAATGTAAATGTGACTGTGAATGTGTCTGTGAATGTGTCTGTGTTTGTGTCTGTGTGTATGTGTGTGTGCGCAGGATGCAGGCGGTGATGCGGGTGCTGTGGCCCTCGAGATAAGCAATCTGGGTGGCGTTTTTTTGGTGATGGTTGTGGGCGCCGTCTTTGGCGTATTTGTGTCCATGCTCGAGATGCTGCTGGGCGTCAAGGAGCGCTGCACTGAAAACAAGGTACACAACAACCCAATTGCTTTTTCTTTCGAGTTATCTTTATTTTTTATTTAGCGACCCATATGCTCGCTTAACAATGTATATTTGACTGTAGTTGGCCTGTATCCCTAAACACATACACACACACACACACACACGCACACCTACACTCAAAGAAAGCAACACCTCGTTATGCTCATTACTATTTCCTTCGACACCAATGAGTACAGGAGGTAGCCGATTCGGATGCGTCCTCGCTGGGCTTTGCCAATTTAGGTGGCGTCTATCTAGTCCTGTTTGTGGGCAGCTGCTTCGGCAGTTTTTACGGCCTGATTAACTGCGTGCTCAGCGTCTGTTGGACCGCGCGAGAGAACAAGGTTAGCGGTTGGTGGGTGGAGCAATTGGGGCTCTAAAAATACTTTGTATCCATAGACTATGTGTGTTAACAGCTAGACAAGCTCCTCCGATGCGTTCGATGGGTAGCTTATTGTATCGTCACTAAAACTGGGCATGCGAAAGGCTGATTGTAGCATAAATAACGATTAAATATGTTGCAACAGCTACTCCAACAACGACTTATGAAGCCACTTGAAATACGTGAAATACAGTCAAACTAATTTTGTTATTTTCTAACTCAATTTACATACTTAATTATGTACTTTTGAATATTAACCCCCTCAAAATATCTACGTATACTCGTTTTGAGAGTCCGCTTCTCTAATTTTTAAACTTGAACGTAAATTTCATTAAATTTAAACTTTGTTGATGAATTAAAAAGTAACATTCTTTTCATTTAGAAATTATTTGAATTTACTAAAACCTTATATACCTTTTTCTTCACAATTTTCTAACGCAAATCCAAGTTACGTACTCTTATATATATATATATATATATATATTATTATATTTTATTATATATATTTTTTACACATTTCAAATTTAGAACCAATTGCTTTGAATGGCTAATAACTGTTACATATTTATGCTTTATGCATGCTTTTTCATCCAGGGATAACTGAAAGCTAATGTGTTGTCTTATATACAAACAGGTTAGCTTGAAGGAAGAGCTGCTAGACGAACTGCGTTTTATTATCCAATGCTCGGGCAACACTAAGGCCGTAAAATATCCAAAAACTTCCGGCAGCAGTTCAGGATCGAGCAGCAGATCCAAGTCGAAGGGCTCATCGCTGTCTGTGGACGATTTACCAGAGGATCCATCCATGGCCGATGTGGAGGCCGTTAAAGACAAGCGTGCCAAAAAATAGGCGACATCGAATTTTAGTACATACTCTCTTCGAAGTTGCCATTCTATTCGAATAAAGTTTCTGTTGAGCTTTTTACAAAACCCAGCACATTTTTTTCCGATCCAAAAGCTCACCAACATAGCTTTTGTAACAAGAAGCTTGTTGTCGAAGCTTTAGTATGTTAAGCTTTCACACAAGATTTAAGGTCTTGCATCGAAAAGCACTCGTATTAGCTGAAATACAAATAATAATATGAAAAAGAAGACAACAGCAAAACATTTTGTATCCTTTTGAATACCAATATATTTAATAGGTTTTTGTAATATTGCATATACGAGTAAGTATATTGACTCATATGTAATAACATTCACAATATCATTGGTTGTATATCTACTTTCCATTTCTGGTAGACACTTAGATATTGAAAAGGTAAAATTGTACGAAGTTTTCGTATATATTTTTGTATATGTTTAAGTATGTTAGGTCTATGTTAGTATATAATACCCCTTGTTTTTTGGTTTATGTTTATGTTTGTATGTATTTGTTATGTATGTAAGCTTCTGATGTGTATATAAATATGTATATGTAAATTGTATAATACAGGTTTAAATATCCACTGGAGTAAGTATACACTAGCTAATATACATATATATATATATATGTAAATACACTCGAACACACACACACACACACTCACTCACACCCACATTCACACCCATGCAAAAAGGACTAAGGAGGCGTACATATATTGCTAGGAATTTTCATACATTTTGATTAATTTGTTTGTTTTTTCCGTTTATGGTAATTTACTTCAAACATTGTTTAGCGATTTTCCATAGTTGTGAAAGATTTCTTGTTTAATCTTCAATATTAAATTCATTTTATTGATTCGCCAACTTGAATTAACTACGATAACTTGGCACAACAACAAAACTGATGAGTCTAAATAATAGTTCTACAATATTTATTGCATTTAATATTGCAACAATATACATATTTTAAGCCATCAGCGCACTCATTTCAATATAAATCTTTGAATGCGTTTGCAGCACTCGATTTATTATTGTTGTTTAGGGTTTGAAGTTAATTACATATTTAAGTTTGCGGTTTCAACTTGTGGTTTACATGTGTGAATGGTGTCAATTGCATTTTAATATGCATAAGTAATTAAAACATTGCATACAACTGAATATTCATTGCTTACAGAGTTTACAGAATTGAATATTTTAATCTAGCTCAGATAGTATTAAGGATCTACAAATTAATCAGTGACAAATTGCCGAGACTCGAACAATCTTTTGGGATCTACTGCTGATTATTACAAAATTATCTAATTGGATTATTCGTTTTAATAGATATTAGATATTAGGTGTAAAGTGTTAGTTGTACTTGTTGAATTTATTTTGATTTGTGTGAGTTTTTGATTTGATATCGAATACACTGCTATGTCGGACAGTGTATCTCGGTGGGTGTATCAGCGTTGTAGTTGGATAGCGTAAAGTTAGAGTAGTTCCAATTGTTGTTGTTCCTTTCAATAATGTGCAAAAAAATGAGTTGACAATTTACAAATCACAATAACCAGAAAATTATATTTAAATTGCCATACAGATTACATTTGATTTAAGTGCCGCATAGATTTCATAGTTTGATATTAGGCATCGTTTTACATAAAGTGCATTTTGGGTGGCAAATTATATTGTGTTTTAGTTTTGCAAACATATCGCTTAGGCTTAAATTGAATTCAATTAAAATTAGCATTTTTGCATTTTTGTTTTCATTTTAGTGGTGTAAGCTCGTAGAGTTTGTCATTGGTCTCGTATAAAAGTTGTATTAGCATTGTGTCCTCTTGTTAGTACTTTTTTGTGGGTTTGATTAAAGCTATAATATATAGTACACAGATACATCCATTAACGGCGATTTGGATTTAATTATTCATTTTATTTTTGTTCGTGGGGCGGTATTTATTTATAACAAATTGCATAGGACTTAAAGCTTTTGTAAAATACACATATATTAATACACATTTAAAGCGTTTCCATTTTGTTTGTAAATTAGTTTTGCTACAAAGAGAGTTGGGAAAGTCAAGGAACCATAACAAATGATCCTGAGTTATTTAACTTGAATATAGTAATTAGATATTTCCGCATAAATTTGGTGTTTCCTTCAAAAAGTGTAAAGAAATGTTGTTTCATTAAATTTTTGGGAACATTTCCCTGATATTGTCTAACTATATAAATATATGTATATGTATATATATATATATATATTTAAGTATGTATATGAATATAATTGTTTTTTGAGTTGGGTACACATTTTTTCAGATCATTTGGAAAGCAGAAAAATGAAGCTAAGAACCAAAGGATTTCTTAGCAAATGATTTTTGTTTCTTTGAGTTGAGTATTTTAATTTTTTATAAAATTATATGAAGTATCCGCTTTATCAGATATCATTATTCGCATTTTTAGTTATTTTCTGTTTTCTGTTTTCTTTTTATATTCATCTCAAAAAGTCATTAAAATAAATGCGTTTCTTTTGCTTGTTGGTATTCTTAGTGCTAAGTACCAAAGTGTATCTGTACCCAAGTAGTATTTAATCTGATGTCGTAAATAGTATTGCGGTAGTTTGTAGTTGTCAGTAGTTTACTTCTATGGTGGGGTATTGCGTGTAGTTGTTAGTTTGTATGTTAGTTAGTTAGTTAGTTAGTTAGTTGTTCTGCCAACTATTATGGCTAAAATTACCTAAAGATTTGTGTCTAACTATTCAAAAAGTTAACATCGCCCATTCTCCAGAACATCGGAAGAAGTCTTTCAAAAAATGTTAAACATTTACGGAATGACAGAGAAGACGCATGTGAATTTCGAACACACAAACACACGCACAACACTCCCATCCTGCGTTGGGCTTGTGTATGCAGTCCTGTCTATGTGTGTCCCTCTCAAATGACACTCATGCGACGCCTGCCATTTCCGGAGGCCTCGGCTCAGTTAGAGTTGGCCAGCGTTTCGTGACACACCTCCATATAGTCTGGGTCGTGCATAATGCCCTTTATCATGTCCTTGAGCATTGTGTAACGTGGAAATATCGGATACATCTTTGAGCTGCCGTACTCTTCCTGTTCGGATACACAAACATATACATACATACAACAGAGACAATGAGGACAACTTTTTCCATGAGTGGAGGTCAGTTCACTTTGCTCACCTTTAGCACGCGTATCAAATGCCGCAAGCCCAGATATTTTTTCAGCAAACGATACAAGTCATTAATCAGCTGTGTGTTCTCCAGCTCTATTTGCGCCGTTGTCATGTCTGTTGGGGCAAAGAGAGAGACAGAGATAGAGAGAGACAGAGAGAGAGAGATGCTGTTAATCACTGTTCCCAGCCGAGTCGAGCCAGCCGGCTAGCTGCTGTTATCAACTTACGTTCCAACCGCTCCATGCGCTCCCTGCGCTCCGCAGCCTCCTCGGCAAGTCGAGCCGAGGTTTTCACACCCTCGCCAGACTTTTGAGTCTTTTCCATAATTGAACAGGCTCGCATTACGTACGAGGGTACGGTTTCCTGCTTCTCCTGCCTTGGTATATCCACTAACGTCCAGTACTGGGTCTCCAGCCGTATCACTTCCTATTAATAATACATGTAATTTGCACCATCAATATTTATCTTTGCTCCAAAAAGCAATGCACACAGAAAAATAAATGGACCGAATGGGAAATTTGAATTGTCAATTTTTAATATAAAAACATTTAAACAAAAACCAGTCATATTATGACCTTTTTAATTAATTTATTTTTTTGTCTGACTTGAAGTCAGCAAGTTTTATTATTAATTTGAATCTATGGAAATAATTTTATTGTTAAACATTTTTTAAAATTAAATTATCGCCTTTTAATTGGAATATTTTTTGTGCAACTTAAGATTCAGAAATAATAAGAAATTTCATAGTTTAGAATTTGGTGTATTTAATTCTTTTGGCATGATATTTATGACACATTTCCTGTATTGTTAAAAGCTTATTTACGAATTAGTGAATGTGGCTTCTGCTTCCTTTTTTAAATTGAACAGACAAATTTTTATTCTCTTACTCATACTCAGAGCCACAGTGTCGACATATTATTTATTGTTTGAAGCCAAACCCGCTGGAATACGAACCTTTATCATTAGCTTGAGCATGGGATAGCGCTGAAAGATGTTGCGATGGCTCTTCGAGTCGCCGTACTTGTTCATGAGGTTGATCAGTGCCTTCTTCACTGTGTCGTATGATTCCTCGAGGCGCAGGCGTAGCGAGCGCAGGCGTTCGTTGGTTTCGATGACCTCATCGCGTGTCATGCCACTTGGGGCACCCTCGTCTTTAACATCTTGAACGATGCGGCGCACGCTTTGCGTGAATTTGCCAACAAAATTTGTGGTTGCTATTGAGTAGAGTAACCGAAACAAAGAACAATGTCTCATTAGAATAACATATCTCAACTTTGCATCAAAATAATAAAAATAGAATGTGAGGAAATTGCACGAAACACTGTCATTCAATTGGAAAAATGTCAGTAGACACATGCATTAACCATTCATTTTATTCTGCGATTCAAGCGGAAATTATTCGTCTATAATTGAGTCGAACGATTATGCCATGATGAATCGCATTAAAAATAATCATAATTTGCAACTCTTTAAAAATCTTCGTCTTGCGAATTTGAACCCGCGACCCCTCGCACACTGGCCAACCCTCTACGCACAGCGCCAATGCCGTCACAAAATGTTGCGCAGCTAGGGCGCATTTTCCTACATTTCTAAGGTATTTTTATATATTATTATAAAATATAAGCAACATAAATACTAGAATTGAATTCTAGTTATTCCTATAAAATTATATTTCTTTTTGATTTTAATAAAGTTTTCACATAAAAAGATTTTTTAGTTTTTATCTTCTGTTTAATGAAAATATTATCAATATTAAGGTAACTAAATGTTGAAGAGTTTAAAGCTTTAGCAAAACATATTATTATTTTATTGTAATTCGAATGCGAATATTCACGATACAAGCAAATGCATACAATTGATTTTTATTGACGAATGAAAAAGAGTCGAGGCCTTTGGAGAGCAGTAGTTAGCATACATTATCACCTGCATCGTTAATGGCAATCTATTCAAATGCATATAAAACGTGACATATTTTATAGCCTTGATTGGACGTCTTCCAAAAAGCTCGTATAAATGTTTACTTGAGTGTAAATATGGCAAGCGAGGCATTTCAAATGGGATGGGCCAGACATAACTATACAGTGCATCCATAAAGTACTCTTCAGCATATATTTATTCAAGTGCAGTACGAATACATACTTTACATACTGTAGATATCGCATTGCAAGTATTAGTCATCCTGCATCACAAAATACAAGACCTTTGGACTATCTCGCAACTGTGACGTTGTCGGCAAAGCATATCAGCGAACTTTGGACTTTGAACTTTTTTGAGCACAACCAAGTTATTCACATGGGGAATTCTAAATAATGTAAATAAATACTAAATGCAGCTGCGAGCAAAAATCCTATTTGCAAGAATGCCTCCACAAAGAGCATAACTCTCAAGGAGAGCAAATAACTGGCTGTGCTCTCTTCGCGGGCTCACAATCGAATAAGTGCCGGGCACGAATAATTATAAGTTCTTACACGCGGCAGATCTTTTCAGTTTCAAATACAATATCCGACAGACAACACAGCCGACGGTCGAGCGAAACCCGAATCGAGTGTGACAACGAAGCACAAAAAGCAGCATAAATAGACTATAAAAAAAAAACAAATAATACGAATGCGAATACGAATTTAAATACGAATCTTCAAGCATATAACGAACACGCGTAATATAATAAACGGCAAGTCAAACAATCAACGATCGAATGTTTTATTGATTTAAATTGCCACAGAAATCATTTATAATTCATATATATGTTATAAGACAGACGGCAGCAGACCGCCGTTCACCAATACACTCTTCAAGCACTTAAAACAAAGGGAGAGAATTATTTCGAGAGAACCAAACAGTGAGACTGAGAAAAAAACTCCAGCACTTCTGCAGTTAAAGCAACAATAACCAAGTACGAGGTAAGCAATATGAACTGTAAAGAAACTGTGATTTATGTGTGTAAAATTTAATTGCTAAGAGATCTCCTTGACCATTGTTCTTAATTACATTCATTTTTATTTAATTTTTTTTAATGTTTTGTTCACCTTTTGATAACAGTTCACCTTCATTGTTTGTTGTTATGTTTGAAATATGCAAGTATATATATAAGTTGCGAGTTATCAATGTTTGTATGTTTGTATTGCTTGCGCACGATTTCTGCTGATTTGAATTTTAAGAATTGTTTATGCAACTTGTTTTTTCGCTTCTCTATATATACACATGATATGATCTCATTTTTTTTGTTGCGATTATACGCTGGCAATCGGTGTTTTAATTGTATCGTTCAGTTTGTAACGTAAGTAGTAGTCTAATTATATGCCAACAAGTGTCTGGAACAATCTGTTCGTTTTTCAAATGTATAATGCATTTTAGTTGCCATCTATATATCCATCGGTTTCGATTTATAAGGGTATTTAATCTTCTGTGTAGTAGAGCTTAGATGTGGCTTAAGTTTATTGTTCCTTATTGATTTGTGAATCATGTTATTTTTGGAAATGTGATCTGCCAAAAACTGTTATTTCCATTTGGGAACAAACTCATCACAAATTAAATCCTATTAATTCTATTCGCTGCGGCTTAGATGCTGACGTCAAGAGAGTATATCTATATAAATATAAGTTCCACATTTTTTCACGTATCTTACGTCAACGACCCAGTGGGCATTATTAAAAAGCTACCCATTTTTTTGCTTATCATGCAATTAATATTTAAACAGTTTTTGAACAGTCAATGTTGAAGTGTGCCTATTAAATGTGTACTATAAAAGTTGAATTTCTACATGGAAGTATCAATGCAATAAAAAAAAATAATCACTTAAATTAATATTATTGATAAAAACAAAAAAAAAAACCGGTGGAAACTGGTGTCGCTTGTTAAACTTGTTTCCCTACGCCCCATGTGCGAATCTAGACCAGTCCGAGACCAGGCAGAGCAACTGCTAAAGTACATCAGTTAGTCGGGTACAGTTCCCGATCGTACGTGCAAATATGCATCATCTGCGCAAAGATTAATGTTCAGGGTCTCTATGGAGATATGTGCTTTATGATGTCTGTGCCGACTCAACCGTTGCGATCAGTGTCCCACGTAGTTTGTTTTAGTATCATGGGTCCGACAATTTCCCGTTGAGGCACTCAGAGAAAAGAAAGGGAAAGTGGTGCACCAGCTGTGTAAAACCTAATATTAAGAACATATTTAGTGTTCCATGCTAAGCATGATTGCTTTTAGTTTAAAACAGTTGCTTCCTAAAAGCATATTCAAATATTACTTAAATCAAGAAATTGGTTACTTGCAGCTACATATTTATTTATAATTGATTGATTAATATTCATTTCAAATTTTGATTAAGATTTTAATCTACTACCTCAAGTCTAAAAGTAAAGATTTGATCTTAAAAGAATTACTTATGCTTAATTTGGAATAGATATTCGAACCTCGAAGACAGACAGCTAGATATTTGATTGCGGATGACTTGCACACGATTTTTCTCTGAGTGTTGGCAACTGTTATCTCTCTATCTGTCTCTCTCTCGCTCTTCCCCCTTTCGCGGCTCTCACGACCTTGTTGGCGCTCCCACGACTGCCAAGTGCTGGCTGCACCCAAAACAGTTCGACTCCACTCCCATCAGTGGGTTGGCTGATATGAGAAATCAACCTGCAAATGTTTGACTGAGCGGCATTTGTTACTCTAAATGCCGTGCTCCCCAACAATGCTCGCACTGAGCGAGTGAGCGACTAATGAGCAGAGCGGCTTTTGTTTACCTTTAGCTTTGCCGTTGCCGTTGCTGCTGCTGCTGCTGCTGCTGCTGTTGGCACTCCTCCCGCTGCCTTCGACGACACCCAGTGTAAACCGGTTGTTGCTAATTTGGCCAAAGCGTACAAGCAAGCAAAACAAGCAAAAAAAAAAACCAAAAGCAACAAAAAATAAGTATACAAAACATACAAAAAGTGAGCATTGTGCATAAAGTTTTGGTTGTATTGTGTATGCGTACATATATGTATCTATATTTTGATGTATGTGTGTTGCCTCCACACAAAAGTAAGTTGGACCTCAAACGAAACGTGTCTCCAGTTCTTTTTCGACTTAAACACTTCGCTCCAGTCTCATTTCGTGTTTGACTGCAGAAGCACTCGTGTTGTGCGTCGAATATTCAAACTTATACTACAAGAAATACTCGTGTTTGTGAGTTGTGTCGAATGTTCATACATTGTAGCTCTAAGATACTTGTATCCATTAAACCTGGCAGCAATTAGTTCTGCTGTTTGCACACAATTAAGACTCTGTACGTGGATGTGAATTTCAAAATATCGACAAGTTTTTGGGGGAAATGGTTTTTGAGGTTGAACTTTGTGTGGCCTTTGTGCCAGCATGTTTTTTATTGGTCCAAAAACATCTTTATTAGTTTTAGTTCGTTGTGATACCTACATATGTATATCGAATATTGACAATGGTATATGTATTTGAGTTTTTTTTTTTTTAGTGATTTATTTTATTTTATGCTTGTTCAAGTTCAACCTATTTGCATTTTGTACTTTTTGCTCACCCGCACATCATTTATTGGATAAATATATCTGCCGAAGCAACGAATTTGTTTATATTTTCTGTGTTTACATTTTGCGTTTTTTGTTTATTCGTTTTCACTTTCAGCTTTGGCATTCAGTGTTCAATCATTTTTTTTTTCTTATTTTATTTTTTTCATTTTGTTAATACCCTGGAGCCGCTTTAAATGGGTTAAAGGGGCTTTGGATGTACAAACTTTTCATCCGTTCGTCTGAATAAAAGTTGTTCGGTTTCCATTCCACTTTCTTGCTAATTATTAAACTTATTTTCGTTGAATGTTTTAATGTTTGGGTTTGAGTATCTCTGCCTAAGATTTACTGCGAATCTTCTGGTCGAGTTACCTTTCTGTGTTCATTTCGCTGAGATTCTTTGGGTTTTCACATTCTTTATGCTATGACGCATTTTTAGCCTTATCTTGGCTTTTGGGTTTTCACAATTCTTATTCATCATTGAACTATGACAAACAAATAACGTGTATGGGCAAACATTTTAAAAGGCGCGAATGCTAATCGATAAACATTCAAATACAATGAATCAATATTATCATAATTAAATAGTATTACTAAAAGTTTTACACCCCAGAAGCTGATTTACGAGCAAACTGTTAGTTTCCCATTGAAAACCGCAGACACGTGCGACACATCAACAATACTACCATAAACGGTCAACCACAAAA